ACTTTGTATAGCTTGTATCTGTCTATTGTACTTGAGGAGACTTAAATGCGAGTCAATAAGTAACTAGTACTATTAACTGATAGATACTTTGTCTGATTCGCGTTTTCTCACAATACGATACAATAACATTAAACAATCTTGTATGAGTTACATAACAAATAAAATTTGGTACAAGATGCATTGCTACTTATCTGAGTCGATTCAAAGATAGTATAAGTAGTTTAAGATTTTTATGTTCAAATTGCTAGTAATTTAATAATGTATAAGGATGTAAAATATGTAGAAAATGAACTGGAAATTCTTAAAAGATTTTCTCCCTCTATTCTTTTATCAGATAAAGCACATTAACATTAAAATAGTTTCGATGCTTACATCACTGTCGGTCGGTTGTTAATTAGTACTTTCTTGATTATTTTTTTTAAATCAAAAATTTATTTAAACAACGTAAAGATATTTTTAAGATTCTGATAATAACAAAATGTATAATATATACGACGATTATGGTGTACATGTTTAAGTTGCAAAACGATCTTGAGATATGGGCCCCTCGATTCGCAATGTGTAACATATGTGTAATCTTGCAAATTTTGGAAAAAAATCGATGATTGCATAAAGAATTTTATTCGAGAGAATATTTAACGAAAAGATTCCATCTCGAAACCATCTCCGATTAACGTGTAAATATATTATATAAAAAAAAAATTCAATTTTATACATATACATATATGTATACTCTCGGAAAGATATTTTAATACTGTTAATTACATCTGTGTTGTGTTGCGTCGTGATTACTACAATGTCGTCATCCTGATCTTTCAAAGGGAGTCCATGTACCTTGCATATACATATTCTGCATATACATATTCTTGCATATACATATTCTGGAAGTAAATACTTTTCTACATCAATATACAACATCAGGTTTAAAGACAATGTCACTGAATTAACAGGCTTACGTCATATTCATTATCTCTCCAATTATTTCCTGATTTCTCATACAGAAAATATGGATATGGATTAAGCAGACTCTAGCATTATCACCGACAAACTGACAAATGATCGCTTCATATCGTCGCTATCAGCTCGTCGGTCCAACTCGGGTTACGTAATCACCGATCACCGACTTCACAAACAGGCATAATTACATATATAATCACAAAAATAGGTTCCAGAGTATTCTTCCGAGTATGACGATATCTCTTAGTGATTTGATTCATATCACGCAATTTAGATTATCGACATACATACACGTAGAAATTCACTGAAAGAGCGCGGACACATCCCAAATCTTAATAACGCGATCTTGGCCGATAGTCAACAATCTTCGCCTAGGAGCGTCTAAATCCATCCCAATGACACTGTGCTTGGCATCATGGAAGGAGGCCAACGATGATTGACTGGTAAATCAAAAGCAAATATTGTATGTTCTGTCTCTTTGCGACACAGTCTTAAGGGAGCTCATCTGTGACAACTTACTTCTCCGACTTGAGCTGTATGTGACATTGATCGCAAACTCTCACTTCGAACTCGAAGCCCATCGCCGGTATCGGTATTCGTTGCGATGTGCAGCGAGCGCATAACGCGCGACCGCAATAGCGACAGTGATGCTGCCTCAATCCCAATTGTCGTTGATCCATCATAGCTTTTATATTCCAGAAAAAGGGTCTTCCACAAGCCTGGATTACGTTGGAGCATCTTAGCGTAATGTTGTAAAGCGAGGCATTGATATTGTATTTAAAGACTTTTTGTCTCGAAATATATACCTGACAGACATCGGATTCGACCCAAGCGGCGGTTTCCTTCCTATTTGCCACCATATTCCAACAGACGATCACGCCGTCCTCGCCTCCGGACAAGAGCAAGCGTTCGGCACTCGCGTAGCATAATGCTGTTACTTTATTACTGAAAGAGAGAATTTTTTCTTTTTTTTTTTTTCAGAACATGTTTCGAAAGTAACTTAAGTAATATTTCCGACCAACCAAAATTTTTGAAAGAATTTTTCGCGTGCGCGCTTACTGGTGTCCCTGAAGTTCATAAGCGGTGCCTTGACGACCTCCAATGTCCCAAACGATGATGCTTTGATCGAAACTACCAGAAAACAACAATTGTTTCTCCGAGTCCCAGGCCAACGTGTGAATACTTCCCGTGTGCGCCTTTAATGTGGTAATGAAGGTAACGCCACTATTGTCCAGCTTTAACATGGCTATCTGACCAGAATAATCTCCTACGAAAGCGTGTTTGGATTGGGCGTCAAATCTGTAGACGCGCGAGTTAAGTTTCTCATAGATGAATACGTTTCTACCAAAGCATCTTTCACTTGTACAAACACACATAAGACTTTTTGTGAAAAGGATACTGTAGAGCGGTATACCATGCGTCTGTTTGATACGATCCTAATTTTTGTCCTGTTTCGGAGCTGTGTAATTGAAATAATTTATCACGGCCTATACTCAAAACCCATTCAAAATCTGCTGTGAAAATGATTCCTGTGACTCTTGCTTGATGCGCTAGATAATCGCGCATAGCTGTCATCCGATTGTAATCTTGTTCCAAGATAAATTCCTATAATTGAAAAGGCAAGTCAATATCTATAATCCCAGTCAAGTACAATTCTAACGATGGACAGAATAAAAAAGGTAACATGACATACATTAATGCTTCCATTATCCAGGCCTACAAATAACTGTCTCGTTTCTACGCTATAGTGCATAGAGGTAGCACCTGCTGGCATGTATTGACAAATACTCGGCCAATAATGACCAGAATCTCGCTTCAGCCATACTCTAACTGTCCTATAAAAAAAAAAGTCAAAGTAAAACAAGCGATTAAACGTCGTCCTTTTAACAGAGTCGTATATTACAATTGATATAACGATACACATATAAAAGAATTGTGTGTATGCTTTTAAGAATGAGAGAGAGAGAGGGTGGGCGAGGGAGGGGAGGGAGAGAGAGAGAGAGAGAGAGAGAGAGAGAGAGAGAGAGCACTCGCCTAGATACACACACACGAATATATGCAGATATATGTGTGTAAAACTTTCTATATGTTGATACAATTTAATGCAATTTCGATACTATTTAGTATACAAGAACCACGTAAACAATACATACGTAACGTATAAAATAGAAAAATGGATGTTTCAAGGTGTGTCCACGCAGTGAAAAAATTGTGCGCAATTTTCACAACGAAAATAAGAAATTCTAAAGATGGAAAATATGAATAAAGAGAGAGACGAGATAATAATACACACGTGTGAAAGAGCGTAAGAAAAAAATATCGAAAATACGCAGTCTTGGAAAATATCTACGGATAGGTACCTGTCATCGCAAACACTGATTACACCCTCTTCCCGTGGGATAATGATAGCAGCATTAACGTCGTCGCTGCAGCCCTCCAATTTTGACAGGAGGACCGGCTTGCGGCTGCTGCTGAATTTATCATGATTTACTCCCGGGGCGGGCTTTATTTCCGCTGCCATTTCTCAACCGCGCGAACGTTATAACAAGTTCACAAGTGCAATTGCCATTTGACAGTTGTCAGATACTGAGCACGGTGCTCGCGGATCAGAGATAGGGACTCTAACTCTACCACGGTATAAAGATATACACAGTAGGGATCATGATGTAAGAATACAAGATCACCGACAAGATACTATTAAAGACCGACATCCTTATAGGAATTTACGTCCTTGTGAATATTGAAGTGATTAAGAGTTAAAATTGTATTGAGTGATAAAATTGTATTTATTTTATGATTTATTAGTTTAGACTTATTCATAAATTTAGAGCTCAATAATATTCGATTTTTCATTAAAATTATAATTTTAGTGTTATCGTCAAAGTTTGATTACCAATAGAGATGATAACTGCAGAAAAAAAATTGTAATTTTTCTACAATATATAGGATATTACAGCTTTACAAGTATGCATATTTATTTATGGACCATTTGTGTAATAAAAAATCATAAATTTAATACTGTATAAGCTAAATATTTATGTTAATAATAGCAAATTTATATCAATTGTCGATAATATCAGCGTTCTTCAATTACCTCTGGGCCCTTGAGGCCCTTTTTTACCGCTGAAAATTTGCTCAGGATTGACGGCCTTTAATAGTATCTCGTCAGTGACAAGATGTATATGCATAAAGATACGTTTTCACGTGCTGCTAAAATAAGCAATTGGATCAATAGATTTGTCGCTTGTTATCCAGCGGCTAAAATTTTATAATTTGAACAGTTTCAACTACAAGCGTCAAACGCTCAAACGTTATTGAGTTCTGAAGAACCACTCGCCCGCACCTCGGCTCGGGTGCTA